AAAAACACCAAAATCCCAGATGATATCTTGGCTTATATCACAATAATGATATCATACAAACATGTCACCAACTTTGGTTCAGAATAATATCAATGGCCTCCAGTTTCCTTAAGTTTCACGGGGTTTAGATGCCTGAGAGGCATCTATCAAACTGCTGACAGCTATTGTGTGAAGCACACCTCATTTTCCAAATCTGCCTCGCAACAGAGTCCTCTCCTCTGTCCTTGCAGCTCTGGGAGGGGTTCTTAATAGTTTGTGAGCGCTTGCGTGTGCGTGCATGTATATATGACAGAACCGCACCAATGACAGGCACCTCAGCCCAGCCCAGCCCTCGCAACAAAGAGGGCTGGTGGGTTTCACTGCAGCCCCGCTTGCTCTCCCACACGCTCATAAATAACCATACAGAGTCTCTGCCCTGGCCAGGGGGAGAAAAGGGAGAGAAAAGAGCCATTTAGGCAGCTCCTCTCCTCTCATGCCTTCCAACTGACCTTTTCCAAGGGTCAATCAGTCCAACCACAACTCCGTACAACCCCCCCCCCCCCCCCTGCTCTCTCCTTGCTGACACTAACCTGAATCATCCCAACACTGACGCTGTGGAGAGAAGCCACTTAGCAGGCTTGGGTCATTGTAAGGGAGCATTTAAAAGACCTGGAAGGCATAAAGCCTCACAGCCGTTCAGTCCCAGAGCATGTGAGATCGCAGCCGGGGTCAGAGGTGAAGGTCACAATATGGGAGGAGGGGAATAAATCCTGTAGCATGGACGACAATGGCTGCAATCCCCACTGACAATGATGCCATTGTGGGCTTTGGGTTGCTTAGTGTGTCCTGGAGCTGTGCCTAATAGAGTTATAGTGCTGATGTGATGGCTGTGTGGCTGAGGAGAGTAGTGTCCTTTCATATAAAGGGGGGCAACTGCAGAGGAGCTTGAAAGAGGTCTCGGCTTCTCACTTTTGCTTTGCATGAAGCCTGGGGTTGTGTGTGTATGTGTGTCCATGAGCGATGGAGAAAGAGAGAGAGGGAGGTTACTAGCTTAACTTCACTGAGCTTCCAGCCATGAATCCTTTGCTCACTGACACACATGACTCCTCTCTGTAAAGAGTCAGAGTTCACAAGATGTGCGGGCGCGCTGACTGCAACATGACTTTTCTATTTGTGAACCTATCGAGTCACACTGTCTCAGGAACAATACAGTTATTGATTTCTGAGATTTTCACATAACTTATGACTAGTGCTGAATGATAAGTAGAATTTTAATAATCTATTAATTGTTTATTAAGCAAAAATACTTGTTTTCCTGTTTAGTTACAAGTGAGCAGCAGTGAGTTTTGCACTGCCATTATTACTGAAATTTAAAACAAAAAAAAAAACGAAACAACAGATTATCCAATGATGAAAATAAGGGAGAGCTGCAGCCCTACAACCTACTTTGATCCATGTTTCATGACACAAGGACTGAAAAAGTGGCAGCATCTCACGTATTGCGCTTCCACTCTTCACGGTCAGGCCTTTATTTGGCGCTCACTTAAGCAGACATGTGGGGAAGGCCTCTGGAGAGACACAGGGCGCTGATACCACAGGATCATCATCCCCGGCATAACTCAGACACTCAGCTGGTAGACGTTATGCGGTGGCATGCCACGAGTACCTCAGTTGTCACCTCTGTTAGTGAGATTAGGCTCTGGCAGAATGGAGTGACAGATGATGAGTGGTGGGTATGACCAGAGGACACACAGAGAGAGGGAGAGGTCTGGACTTGACAGACAGAGTCAGACAGATACCGGAGCGTATGGAAAAAGAGTATGTCAGTTTTGCTGATGTCTATAGTAACAGTAGCCTCCAATTTGACATTCCCTCCACCAAACATTGGTTTTCTGTTTTTTTTCCTTCTTTTTGGCTTCTCTTTGACCTCCTTAAAAGAACAAGCTATGTTTCCCAGGGCCCAGCTATTTGAAGCTCATAGTTTTGGTCATCCAAAGTTTTCTGTTCCAACTCTAGCCGTTCAGACACTGTCCCCACTTACATTTCCACAATGGCAGGGTCCTGGGGGCCAGACCATAGCCGCCCTACACTCTGCCCACAGTTGAGTTGCCTCTGGCAGGACTACTGCGTGCTTTGTGTGCTGGTTCTGGCCACTGATCAGGGAAACCCCACAGTCTCTCCATGGTGAATGTCGACCGCCCTGCCAAGACCATTATGCATCCCTTCAATGGCCGTGAATAGCAGCACACTACAGTACAGAAGATTTGAGAGATGTGCAATTCACCCAGGGCTACAATGCGAGACCATGACACAGATACCCACATCGGTGAACTGAACTAATCCCTGACATGGTTTCTCTGTGTTGTGTCTTTGGGTCTTTTGATGGACAGCAAACAAAACAAATCCTGATAAAAATGTGTCCTACATTGCACTGCACAGGAAATATGAAAACAGCTAATGAATAATATTCCTTGACACAGTTATTGGTCTAAATCCAAGCAAACATTACTCTAGAAAGCCGAGAGATTATTCCACTGAATCTACAGATACTGGTGGGTGTGACTTAGTGTGGCTAAGTGAATGACAGCGGGAGGCCTATCATGTACACATTTAACACTCTTAAATATGGGGATTAACGCTCTTTTCATAATTTCACCACTGAGTTCATGTGCAACACACTGACCACAGTGACCTAATAATCTCTAGGGCACAAAAACCATCCTGTTTGCCATTCTCCTGAGCTCTTATTAGTATTTCTCCTCTCTCCTGGCTCTGCTTTCCTGACCAGAGAAATGACCAAACTGTGATGTCTCTAACACCCACTATTTGTTGCCAGTCTAAGTTGCTTGACAGATCAGTGTCAAAAATTTAAATCTAACAGAATTAGAGTTTTACTGTTATCTCCATTTAGCACAGAGGAACATCTGTTTATTAATTTAAAACTCGTGCCGATTTTCCCAGCACTCCCACAGTCCAGTGGCATATTGCGGTGGTGGATATCAAGATGAGTCACATCAGCTAGCAGGCAGCTGGCAGGCTTGCAGTATCAGCCTATCCTGTTAATCTTACTATTAGCCTTCACTGATCCCGTCAGGACTGCCTGGATCTGGGTAGCAGAGCCTAAAGGTTTATCCTGCAAGCCGGCCCTCCCTCACCCTGGCCACTACACGCACGCAGCGCAAATTGGGCACACATGCAAGTACACACCAGCACCATCCTCAAATATTTCAGCTTTTCCTGAAACTGATCATATGACAACATATCTCCAACACAAAGCCCAGACACTGGAGCTCATCATACCCTACCTATGCCACAATGCCCCCCACTAACGTGTCTGGACCCCCGATACAAGGCTGTTGTGTTTCAAGAAGGTGGTGGTAGTGAAATGTGTCACAGAGGTCAGACCCAGAAGTTAAGGGGGCAAATTCTGTGCTCTTCTGACACCGAAGGAGGGGGGGAGGCGGGGGGGGTTGGGTAGCAGCCAAGTGACATGCCGTGACAGGCTTCAAGGCTTCTTAAAGTAGGAATGCATGGAAAGCAAACACTCATACACTGCACCCACAAATACACACAGGCACACGTGAGTACATTCACCCATGTTCGTCAACACCCACACAATTACATACCTGTCAAGTGGTGGTTCTAATGCCAAGAAGACACCTGCCAACACAGATTGTCTTTGTCTAAAAATGTTAATAAACCATTTTGTCTTTCCTTGAATTAGCCACACACACGCAAGTGCACATTCGTGTGTGTCTGTGTGATATGTTTGTGCTCTTTCTTGCCATAATATGCTCCATCATGGCAGTTAGTTTAGGACGTTTCATGGGTACTGACTGGACACAGGGAAGAATCATTTTGCTGATGGGAAAGAGGAATGCTGGAGGCAATTACCTCCCCTGACTCTCTGTCCTTGGGTCAAAAGGGGACCGGCCATAAACGCCTGGACACCAACAGAGACGGACCTCTGACCATGATGGCCTTGTTTCACTCTCCCTGCAGTCCCTAACGTCAGCTGCTGGAAGAGCCTCTGGTTGTTTAAATTTACAGCACAATGTCATTCTGTGTCATGAACGAACAACAATGCATGTATTCATCCAACATAAGAGCATGAGGAGATAGTAATGCTAATTCTCTGGTCGTTTTCAGCACATGAAGACAGAAACACCAAATTATGTTATCATTAAATAATCAATTCTATCAGCCCTTTATGCATTTTCAAGCCACTGATGTTAACACACCTACTATTAGCTATTGTGTCTTCAACTGGATGATCTCTGAGCAGCAATAATTACGAGCAGTGACAGTCAAGATGCCATTTTTGTTGCTGAACGTGTTTGACAAGCTCAACAAGAATATAATACACACTTGCCAACTAGGCAGGCTACTCTGTCGCCTCTCAGACAAAAGGGTCTAAGCCTGGTGCTCCCCGGATGCCAAACAGCTGAACACAGTTTAATTATCATAAAACCTAAAGCATGATGTCATTTTTTTATCAACCTATTCTCTAACCAATAAATTAGATCACGGCTACAGTGGCAGAAAATGCTTTTAATTCCTGTTTGTTTAAAATATAAAAACATATAAGGTGTAGGTTAGATCAGTTTCATTTTTTATGATTCAAGTTATTGGACCAGGTTTTTCTTTTCCATTCATGCCCTGCAAGGAATTTTTCAGCTGTTACAGTGCAGCCAGAGGAGAGTTGAATGAAACGGTCTGGAATGAACCATTAAAATGTAGGGGTCACAAGTGTCCGATACTCCACGCATCCGCGAGTGGAATTCACCAAATAACATCTAATTTCGCAGATTATACTTACATGTTCTTGTTTGTCTTTGTTTGTTTTGTCTTTTTTTTTTAACCGTGTAATATAAACTTTCCTGCGTGTGTTTTACATGACAAAGAATCCTGCAAAGAAAAGAAACCCCCCACCCCTCCAACGTAGCAGCGGGTTGGACCAGGCCAAGATGATGTTACGAACAGCCCTTTAAAGTCGCTTCACTTCCGAGATGAAGTAAAGTAGAGCTCCACCGCACAGGGAGAAGGCATGGACTGACAATCTCCGACAAAAAGCCCACACTTAAGCCAGGCTATGTTGAGAGAATACATTTGGACATCGGGATTTGTTCATGGACTCGGAGTCGAAGGAGTTTTCTTTTTGTCCAGATCTATGTAGTACGTGGCGTCTCATGACTGCACTGAAGTAGCCTGAATTAGGTTCTTTTGCGGCAAAACATACGTGCATCGTTTTCACATTGCGCGCAAAGACAACGACAGCAACCTGGACTACTCTTGTGAAACAGGAATGGTTTATCCTCCCGAAGGTTTATTCTACATCGAAATGGATCAAGCACCACCAGGTAAGTTAGGGTTAAAGGCAGCCATTGTCTGATCTGCGGGGGGTCGGGAAACCGTTTTATTCATTCTTTGCTTTTTTCTTTTGCTGGCACAACCTTATGTAATGTCTGTAATAAAGTTGACATCTGACAAATGCCGTGCAGGTGCTGGTAAAACGTTATAATGGCGAGGTCCTCGGCGCTGCGCTCCCCCACTGGCATTGCCCAGGCATGCATAGCGCAATTCACTTGCCAATTACGTAATACCTTTCGGTGGACCAGACGCAGTGGCTTGCCTCCTTTCTTTTGTCCCAGCACATATGACAAACTTAGACAGAAACGCGCAGCGGTTTTGCATCTCCTCATAAACCAAAAGAAGGTTTACTGGAGGAGTATGACAGTGTTGAGAGCGCAATTTGAAGGCACTATAGTTGAGGGTGCGTTAATGAGCGCCGCATGAAACGACCGCTTTGTTCTCCTCTGCAGCCAGCCGTGGTTAATTTGTGCGCTAGCTCTGTAAGTAGGCTAGAGGCAAGCAGACTAGACAGCTCGTCTCATGACTTAACTCCGGCAACTCATGAACAGTTCGTTTTTTATTCACATTTGTCATTTGACCGAGGCGTTATTACATTGTCCTAACAGTGAATAACACTTGTATTTCAGTCCTGTTATGTCTTGCTCTAAATAACCAGGCTACTAGCTAAATTAATTTGACTTTACCCTAATTAAAATTGCATCATAATTTTCAGCTCCCATACATGAATTATTTGAAGATTTACTGATGGCTACAGTTAATATAATACAATAGAATATAAACTTGTGAAGTGAAGACTACTGACACACCAACAATACAGATACCCTGTATTGCTCCTATAAGGTCTATGCTTTAACAATGTTATACAGACAGTTCCTGAGTTTGGTTATTGAGACTTAACCTTCCCTTTTTATGTATTTTCTGGATTGAACACAAACTACAGTGTAACTGATTAGATTTCTTTTTTTATTATTTCATACTTAAATTACGGGGCTCTTGTCTGGACTGGTATGTGCATGTGGGTTTTGGAAGCCAGTAGAGTTTCTTGGCAGCAGACAGAAAGGGGAAGGTGTGCAGATTTAATTTTGCTGAGTTCAGGAGCCGCAGCTTTTCGTTTTGTGCCTGCCACTGTACTGCTGCACCTGCCTTTTGTTTATTTTAAGGTCAGAAAAAGAGGAGAGCGGATGGTGGGAGAAACCCACATTTTCTCCTCTCTGAGGGTGCTCTTGTATTCTCCCTAACTGCCTCATGAAAGGCACTTTTGTCCTGCAGTGAAATATATCGCCCTTCACCTCCTCTTGATGCGGTTTGCCCTCCTTCTACATTTTTAGGAAAACGCTTAGTCTTTCGGCCAGACTCACAGATTTTTTTTTCCTTTAAGGTTGATGGAAAACTCATGAGGATCTGTAAGCGTGCAATGATTACAAAATGGGAGGGGTGGTTCAGGAGGCTCAAAATATAATTTATGGTCTATTTAATGCTTCTCATGCTATTCAGGACAGTGCCAGAGTTTATAAATTATACTTTAATCTACTTTGCAAGAGTTGCAGGGCATTAAACCACGTAATCATGAAAGTACTTAGAATAATAAAAGAAAACATGTTTCATAGTTGTTGACTGATAATGTTCAGAAATGAGGACTTACTGCCACATTTCCTTTTTTTAGTTCTGACCACTCTTAAGATCTTGGTAATGATTTGGCAAGTGATATCTCTTGGAAACATGCCTGGGCTTGTCCTTGTTCAGGCTGTGAGAGAGAGTGTGTGTTGCTGTTTGTTGGGGGGGGGGGGGGGGGGGGGTATATACATTGAGGACACTGTATTTCCTTAACACACACATCCTTGATTGCACTAGTTATAATATTTAAGGAGTCATGTTTACATTATTTCACAGATTGGCGTTTTTACAATTTCTGATATGTCATTGTCTAAAGAAACTGTCATCCTGAGCAGAGGTGTTTCATTTTCTAACCTTCTTTTTTTGCTTTCAGCTCTCCCTCCCAGGTCAACAAAACCAGCGTCTTCCACCATGAACAACAACTGCCCCTCGCCACCTACATATTCGCTACAGGACGCCGAATGGTATTGGGGAGACATAACTAGGTAAAGTATCCTAACTTTGAACAGTCCTATATCCAACATGATGTCATTCTTAGAAACTTGTTGTTTGATTGTTTGACGTGCCGGTATGTTACATCCGTTAACTGGTAACTGATTTTCCCTCAGGGATGAGGTAAATGAGAAACTCCGAGACACACCTGATGGCTCCTTTTTGGTGCGTGACGCATCCACAAAGCTGCAAGGAGACTTTACGCTGACGTTAAGGTAAGCAGAAGGAAAAGAGAACAGTCGCTCCAGTCACATCTCTATCACAAATAAGGTGTTCACATGTTGTTTTACACCAATAATCTAATTTTGGCCTTTGCTGCTGCACAGGAAAGACGGGCACAACAAGCTCATCAAGATTTACCACCGCGACGGGAAGTACGGCTTCTCGGACCCCCTCACATTCACTTCGGTGGTGGAGCTCATTTGGCACTATCAGCACCATCCGTTGGTGGAATATAACGCCACACTGGATCTGATGCTCACACATCCTGTATCCCGCTTCCAGCAGGTTAGTTTGTACCATTATTTCTTATTTTTCAGTCAAAACATTGGTCAGTCTGCATAAATGTTTCATAAGTGATGATAGAGATTTTTGTTAAATACAGAGGATTATGAATTGCACGTATTTATAAGTGGAATTTTTGACATTAGGTGAAAGAAGACAGTGTCGATGTCGCTGGAAGAAAGCTGAAGGAGGTTCACAATCAGTATCAAGAGAAGTCGAAGGAGTTTGATTGTCTTTACGAAGCCTTCACAAAAACCTCACAGGTAAAAAATCATTTTGAAATTAATTTTGATGGTCTCCGATTTCTATGCCCACACCAAAGCTCCTTTCTAAACAGTAGAATTTACATTCATCAGTATCCCGAGTCTCTTCTTACTGGATGTGTTTGTTGTGATGCAGGAAATCCAGATGAAGCGAACGGCAATTGAGGCCTTTAACGAGACGATGTTGATCTTCGAGGAGCAGTGTCGCGAACAGGAGCGTTATGGAGAGGAGTTTGAAAGGAACAATCAGTCCGACGAAGCCGACACAGACCTGGAGAGGTACTTCATTACACCGTGGTACAGAAAAAGTGTCCAAACAAAGTTTCATTAAGATGCATGCAGACCGTTTTCCTTGAACTCTGCCCAAACCCGTGACCTTTACTTTCCCTCTCTAGCTTTCTGATAAATTACGAGAAGCTGAAGTGTCGGCTCGGGGAGATATATGACAGCAAAATCCATCTGGAGGAAGACTTGAGAACGCAGGTGGAGGACTACAGAGAGACGGACAGGAAGATGAACAGCTTGCGACCTGACCTCATCCAGCTACGCAACATCAGAGACCAGTACCTCAAGTAAGTAGCGTCAGAGTATTGTTTGTGGCCTCTGTGGTAAATCACTGCAAGTTAATTAAGGGAAGAAACATTTTGTAGCTGCTCTGTAATGTATCATCATTTTATGTTAAAATTAATCATTCCTTTGCACCTCTCCTTACAGCTGGCTTAATCACAAAGGCGTACGGCAGAAACGCATAAATGACTGGCTGGGGATACAGAGTGACAGCCTCGATGAGTAAGTTCCAGCAAATTCTTTCTGGAAGAAATATTGAGGAAACACAGCTAATAACTTGTACAGGAAATACAGAATTGTTACAGAGGCGTTATGGTTCGACTCTTGTTTTTCCAGCACATATGTGTTGAAGGGGGACGAGAAGAATTTGCCACATCAGGATGAGACGAGTTGGTTTGTCGGTGAAATGAGTCGGACGCAGGCGGAGGAGATGCTTCAAGGTAAAGCTCCTGGAACATTCCTGATCCGTGAGAGCAGCAAACAGGGGTGCTACGCCTGCTCTGTTGTGTGAGTATCACTTTGGAAAGCTATGTCATAAGAATGGATCACGATAAATATTAAACACAGTGTAATTGTGTGACACTCATTGATGGGCTTTTTTTTCTTTTTGATTTGTTTCAGTGTGAATGAAGAAGTGAAGCATTGCATGATCTACAGCACACCACACGGATACGGCTTTGCTGAGCCTTACGACGTCCACTGCTCACTGAAAGACCTTGTCCTGCACTACCGCCTGCACTCTTTAGCGCAACACAATGACGCCCTGGACGTTCGGCTGTCACATCCAGTTCACGCCAAAGCTGCAGCCACGCCTTCTCAACTTATAGAGGAGCACAAACTCTTACAGACTCCAAAACACACAGCGGGGCTCCCGCCTGCAGCTCCAGAAATGTAATCCAACGGGGAGAGAGAGAGAGACAGAAGGACATGTTTACTGTATCCTGCGAGAACGACTGCATCGAGGTGCATTGTGTAAAGTTTTGCACTACAGTGATTCCATCGGTTTTTGTGAATGGGATTTCACAGATTGAAGTGGGACCGGAACTTGAATGTCAGCTTGGACTTTGTTTTTGTTTTTGTTTTGTTTTTTTTTTGGTTTCAAAGAGACTGTTTAAGCTTTCAAAAAAATTTTGTACTTCATTTATTGCCGTTTGTTTAATGGACACTATCGGTAGGGATGTTGACAACCAGAAAATTGCTCACTGACGTCAGGTGCTGCACCTTCATTTGACTTCAGCTTTTACAACTAGAGTTAATGTTGCTAGAGATGTCCGTTTCCCTAGTTCTGAAAATTTGACCAATATGTTGGATATATATTGGGTTACTACTACTTAATGCATTTGTGAGGGGAATACACAGTGCTGTATACAGACTGATTGCGTCATATCGGTTTGGTGGACCAAACCATTTTTGGGTAAATGCCAGGTGTGAATATGTGAAAAGTCGTGGTGCATCGTGACCTTTTGCCCCTTTCTTAACTGACATTCATATACAGTGGATAATTATGTAGCATTAACATCTTGTAGAATACCATTGTAAGAGCATACTCAATGTTATACCCATTGACCAAAGCACTTAATAGTGAGCAAACTACGTCCCTGTTTAGTCCGGTAATTGCATTTGGGCAAGGGGAGGGCAATTTATGTACACCTGCTGATGTGCTGATCAAAACATAATCTGAAGTACTGTATGTTATATTCTGTTACTCAAAGAAGTATAAGCTTTTTGTATTCTATATATATTTTTTCTATAAACATGCCACAAGATGAAAGCTTGAAGAACGTGCAATCCAACAGTATTTCTATTGTTGCAATGTATGACGATGATGATGGTGGTGAAGGTAAAGCTGTTATGAGAGGTTGACATTTGCCACAAAAATGCACTCTCTTTGGTGGTGTCAGTGTGATCTGGCCTCCGATGTTTGTGTGAACTGCCAGAGGTCCGGATGTATCCTGCCTCCATTACTTGAACTGTGGCATTGCTCGAGCTATGAATGTTTTTCATGACATGCAGCCTACATAGCTTAAGAGGAAAGGAATCCATGTTGAACTTGGCACATTTTTCAAGTTTGAGGACAATAGATACTCTGTACAGAGAAACTGTAAAATGTATTTCTGAGGTTGGTTTATGGAAGGAGGATGATTAAGCCTCTTATAAAAATATAACTCCACTGGGGGATTGAGGAAACTCCTCGGGTGAAGCTAAGCAATGTGAGATTCTGACCTTTTTCTTGCAGAGAGACAATAAACTGATGAGGGTTTTGTCAGCTTATGTAATCCAGTGCTTTTTTTCACAGCCCATTGCTGATACTGTGCAAGCAATGCACATTGTCATCGTTCTTATCATTTAAGACCTATATATAGGAGATATAAGATTTTTAGGTGCATTTTTGTAGTGTTACAGTTTTTATAACATGGGTAGAAAAGTGACCAAATAGAAAGTAGAGAATTACTTAGAGTGAGTTTAGTAGTTATAAAAAATTTACCCTCTGTCTCCATGGAGCCATTGTAGTCTGATGAGCTTATCCTTGGGTAAGCAGAGACAGGAGGCTGCAAGGGGACTGGAGGACACACTGTGGACAGATGGAAGAGAAAGGAAGCGATAAAGACAATAGCAGGATATGTGCAGGTCCTTTCCCTACTCAGTCTGGCCGGTGTTGAGTGACTAGAAAAAAATCATGTATTACACCTATTTCTCTGGAAACATGCAGTATTTTGAAACACAACTTTTTTGACGCTCCTGTCAAAGGAATGCAGCTCGACTGTAAACATTTGGTACCAGCCAACTTGATAGCAGCTTGAGTTTTGTCTCTTAAACTTTATCACACAGTCAACACCATTGTTATCTGATAATTTTACAAAAATGAATGTGTTAGTGTTTCAAAACAAACTCAAGCTCCATCTACAAAGAAACGCTTGTGTAAACCTTAGGACACAGTGAGCACAGATGATGATGATGATGATGACGACCCTGGGACAACACTGCGAGCGGCCTTCTGTGACCGGAGCAACAGGTGGCCTCTTTCAACCATCACATAAGGTCTGTGTTACGTGGGGATTAATGAGGTGCAGAGGGCAGGGATGTACTGCGGGAGAGCCTCAGTTCCAGGCCACGGATTACTCCCTCTTACCTGTGTCAGCATAGAGAGCTGGTGGACAGGCGGCATGCATGCATGCTTGGATGGACCAGATGCAGGGGAGATAGACTGGACAGACTGGACAGACTGTACCAACGCTGAGTCACCCTCAGCCTGCGTGAGTGTCCAAAAGACAGGGAGAGAGTGGGTAGAGAAAGTGTGTGGGGCAGACAGACAGGAAAGGAGGAGGGACAGGAAAGAGTACTCAAAACTCCTGCACAGGATGGTATGAAAAAATGAGGGCTGAAAAGGTCAAGCTGGGCCTTTCCTACATTTCCTTCAATCTGAAACACACTCCTACTTGGCTATACCCCAGAGCTATTTGCTTTTACAGCAGTTTAGCTTACACTGCTCATTCTTATTTTCCTTAGCTCCCAGAGTCTGAGTTTAATCTATGAAAAAACCCAGCCCCCACGTCTTTTCTTTTTTTCTGACTCATACATACACAGACCGTCTCTGCTTTCCTCCCTTTCTCCTTCCTCGTCAGCAGGCCTCGCTCGTTTAAATTCTTAGTAATTGTGCTTTATAGTTCTCAATTTAAATAAGTCCTGGCTGGGGGTTGGGGGAGCAGGACGAATTACCTTTGGAGTCACGCCTAAAATACACACACCATCAACTGTCTCGCAGGCTTTCAGGAAAAGAGGTTTTCGCTTTCAGTTTGGCCGCAGCCAATCGCCTCTCTCCTCCCCTCTGTCTCCGTCCGATTCCACCGTTTCCACGCTACCCGATCAGCCAATCGGCGGCCGGGAACATGCCGCGCGTCAGCCAATCAGCGACCAGTTGCTATGTTGGAGGCAGAATCGATAAGAGAGGGATTTTTTTCCCTTCTTTTTTTTTTTTTTTTTTTTTACAAGCACACATTATAGCTGGCTTATAGGCTGAAGGCAAGATCCTGTTGCCTGCCAAGCAGCATGTAGGCTATGCGAGGACTGAACCATTAAATATACGAGCTCCACATTTCCCACATTTTCTTTGAAGCGTCTCTAATACCACCACAAATAAAAGCTAAACAATTTGCCTGTATATTGTGTATATTTGTATATGCACATATGTATAAACGTGTTTATTTTAGAATTTATGTGCACAGAGTGATCACCCACTGAATTGTTGAGGTCATGGAAAAGCTAGAAATTAAGATGGAAAATTGTTTCTAAGCCTTAAGGAATTGTGGTAAATGCACATCAAACAAGTTTCAAATTGAAAATTAAAGTTTTTACATAATCTTCCCCCCTTCCTTTTTCTTCTTTTTTTGAAGAATTGTCCAAAAAAAACAAATGCCTGCTCATTTACAGTAACCCCCAGTTACAGTAGTGGCTAAACAAGGATGCTACACTGAATACTGAACATACAAAACAAAATATTTAGGATAATTGTGTCTAGGGATTGTTAAACCAGGTCAATCTTTCCTAAGGTCTCCTGCCTTTCTAAACTATATATTGTCAAATAAAATACAAAAAGAAAATTACATTAGATGATTATTACTGAATAAGTGAGAATACGGGGCAATTGTTGTATGAACTCTACCATCAACTTGTATTTTAAGTTGACTAAAATAAAAGTGACATGACATGAAACTATTCTACTAAACAAAAGTTAATGATGAGATGAGGAATTCCCTGCTGTTTTGTCAAAAATATAATGCGGCATCATTTCATACAATCGACGCTTAAAACTTGAAATGATGATTCATTGGCTATTTCATTGACCTCTGGTGACAGTGATTGCAGTAAGGCGGTCAGATCACACTAAGATGAGAGGTGACACTGAGCCAGCTCTTATAAGGGGATAACATACTACTGCATGCTGACAAACCATTCAGGAGAAATGCCAGTCTAGATCCACAGCCAAATCAGATTTGCAGACACCAGCTTAGGCAGGGACGGAAAATGATCCCACCTCCTTGAAACAGGTAGAACAGGACAGGGACACCACTCTAAAATAATAACTTACCTTTTGGATAAATGCCCAGCAGTATGCATGATTTCCTCCTAATTCAACCTGAGACATACCATATTATGTTGTGCTGCCATTTCTCAAGGAAAAAAATCCTCACTAATGATTTCAGCTGTAATAAATGAAGGACCTCAGCGTCCCTCGAGCTTTCAGGACAATCTCATTGCGGGAGTTCAGCTCTCAAATAGATTAAAAAAGAAGCAGCAGGCACATGGCCAGCAAACCAATGTGGCACAAGACTGACAGACACTAGCTCTAGTGCAGATGGTAAGGAAACCTCAGAGTTCAAACCAGAAACCAGTTCAGTCTGAAAGCACAATACCGTATGTACACTGCACGCGGTGAACTCAGCCAAGATAAGGAAGGGTTACACAGTTCACAGGTTCTGTCAGGTGAGGACAGGAGCCTCGTCTGGCAGTATCAGAGAGAACATGCAGACAAGATAATAAGATCATTTACAGCCACAATGTATTTGTAATAAGAAGGAAAGTGTATTATTAACACAAAATAAATTATCCTCATCATACGAAAGGGATTTTTACTGTATAAGTCATGGGGAATATTATGGAAATAATGATAAAATCTCCTACCACAGAGTGCTGGAATTACTTGTTTTGCATTATCTGGTGTGATTTAGAGCCAGTCAAAGCACTCAGTAAACTATGAACTCTACCTACTCCCATAAGAACCCTTAAGATGTCAGTTTCATCTCACGATGTTTTTCTTTCCTGGTGAAAGCAGTGTCTAGCCAGAGGAAAGAGCCCTGATGAAAAAGTCAGACATACCCTGCACTTAAACCAGAATGGTAATTATAGTGACCACTTTCCATAGGATGACCCTCACACTATTTACTTTTTTCTCCCACTAACATGGGAGATTCTGGGAGCAAGGCAAAGATTGCTTCCCATTACCACAATGGAGAGACATGATAATCAGTGAACATAATTATCATGCTCTTGACAAGCAAAAACATTGCCTATAGGAGAAGCAAAACTAGGTCTGAAACTAGCATATGGCTGGACAATGTGTGGTCAATGTGCGAAATTGGGGACATAGTTGAAAACTGTTGCTGTATAAAACTGATTTGTCTGTAGCAACAAATGCACTAAGTTGGCAACACTGTAGGCTGTAAACCCCCCCCCCAATAGAAACTGAGAAACTGTTTGTGCCAAATCATTTTGAAAGAGCAACAGCCAATGGGGGAACTCTAACTCAGTCATGTGGCATTCGCTGACTAATGGTGGAATTACAATCAGTCACTCACTCAGTCAGTTAGTCACAGACATTTGCGTTCAGGGCCCCACTCAAAAACGAGAGACCACAGCCCAGCCTAACAAAATAGATAAATGAATAGATATATAAATAAAACATAATCACACTGTAACAGAACCATTTTCATCAAAAGACAGCTGTGCCACCACCTTCAAATTCATTTTAACACCTCACCTACTTATTAAAACCTGTTTTACAAGAGGCACCTGCCCAGACAGCAGCTTAAAGAACAAAAGGCAAAGAAAAATATACACTTTCATACGACAAACGACACACATAATGCTGAAACAATAATGAAAATGAAAATTCTGTCATTAACATTAATTTAATGTTTTTAGCAGTGGTAATAAGGAATAATGGAGTAATGGAGACAGTGGCAAAATTAAGAATCTGAACTTCTGCTTGATAAGTCTTTATGAATTATTTGAACCAACTTCTGATGGACATACAGTATTATGATGCTGAACTCGTAGAGAACATATGCCCCTCGCCAGCATGTATCATTCATTGATTGAATGGAGGTTGTTGTCACACTTCAATGAAACGCCAGTGAAGCCCTTGAATTGCAAAACAGCACTGATCACCTCACGACTGCTAAAAATACGTAACGTGATAAACACATATCTCAGCCTTGTGTGGAAAGTAATTGTGCCACCACTGAAAAAAAAGAGCTTATTTGAGGATGAAGAATACATTTGAATACATTTTAATATTTTTTGTTTTTCTGATAAACATGTAGCCAAGTTGAGGCTTTTTGATAGCATTTAGATAGGATGAATTTAAAAACATATCACATTAAACAGTAGAGAAATTACTGGTTAAAACATAAGATAAGTTTAAATCAATTGTGAAAAATTGAAGCACTGAACATGGCAAAACTTTAAAGTATTGCTATAATTATATAT